TGGTCTCTATTTGTAGAGAATGAAAAATTATGAATTTTGATATTTTTATTTTTATTTTTTAATATAAAATATAGTTGATAATTTAATTTATTTAATATGATATATAAAATCCATTAACCTATAAAAATAAGACACATGTCATTTAAACAATACTTACCTTATCTCACTTACCTTGTCCTCTCTCTGCGCGTGGGCTAGAATAAATTGGACAACAATTTCAATTTAAAGTCACTCTCCTTTTTTTTACGTGCTCTCACTCTCGGCAAGGTGTGCCAGGGCACATCTAATTATTTGCGAAGGTCCTCTACCAACGCAAATAACAGGGCACACCTAGCAAGGTGTGCCAAGGTTTTTTTAGCAAGGTGTGCCAAGGTTTTTTTTACACATGCTCATTTTATAAAGTAACATGTTCATTTAAACTGTCTTGGCACACCTTGCTAGATGTGTCAAGGCAGACGTTAGTAGCATGCTCTACCAAACCCTATTATACATCTCTAGGAAATGTGTGCCCATCAATCGGTGAAGCCAATTCATGAATGAATTGTTGAACTGAAACGCGCGTACAAGGAACGTCGTCTCAAATCCATTCTTCGTTATTTGCTCTCCCTCTAGAAAACTTGATCGGAACGAAAACCAAAGAAAAGGCGAAACCACTGAGATTGAAATTGGCGAAAGAGGAAAAAATGGCGAATCTCCCTCCGTCCCTGAATTTGAAGGCTGCCCCTTTTGAGGTTAGCGGCAGCTCTGCGGCCGCTGCCGTCAATAAAGACCGGAGAATGCAGTCGGCCGAACAGCTGGTTCTCGATCTCTGCAACCCCGATCTCCGGGAAAACGCGCTCCTCGAACTATCAAAGGTTGTCTGGTTCTATCATACAGTTCTGCACTTTTTGTTTGGGTTCTTTCATTGTCAATAATCAAATGTCACTATTTGAAATAGTGTTGCAAATAGTATTTGTGTTAATGGCTACCAACAAATAAATATCTTTCTAATGTCCGATTTTGGACAATGATCATTGATTTTGATTACAAAACATATATATATTTGTTGGCTTGCCCAGTTGTTTATCAAGTTACTTGAATGTTGTCTGCTTTTGGTTTTTGAATCTCATATTGCTTTTGTTTCTCTGTGGAGGTTGATTCTTAATTGATCGTGGTTTCTGTGTATTATTTTTTCATACATGTCTTATGCATTGTCTTATTCTGTATCTAATAGAAGAGAGAGCTGTTTCAAGACTTGGCTCCACTGCTGTGGAATTCCTTTGGCACAATTGCTGCACTTCTGCAGGTTTGCCATGCAATTTAATACGAAGCGCCCTATCTACTCAGCCATGTTTTCAGCATTTTTCTTGTTGCGTTTGTCAATTCAGAAAAAGAAACTTCTAGGCTTAAGTTCATTGTTCGAACTGCTTTTACTTTCATATTCTATAACATAATTCTATGCACTTTCATCAGGATTATGTGGAGTAACTGTTTTTTTAGCATTGTCTTTGGTTCGAACGTTCACATCTATGTTGTAAACAATATGAAGCATGTTTTGTTGTGAACTTCCTGCAGGAAATAGTCTCAATTTACCCAGTGTTATCCCCTCCAAACCTAACTCCTGCGCAATCAAACAGAGTTTGCAATGCTCTCGCTCTTCTTCAGGTATTGTCTATTTCTGGTTCAGAATCTTCCTTGGAAATTCTTAATGCTTTTATCCGCCTTTTGATAGTTAGTTTTCCAGGTTTTTCTTCCTTTTAAAAAACCATAAACAATATATGTCCTTGTGTATTATATTTGGAATTCAAAAAGTGCAAGCTCAAAAGTGCTGGACACTAATAGCTACAGAATGCAAAAGAGTTGGCATGCATTTATATGGATTATGATAGAATGAAGGGCGGATTTCGAGAAGAAATTAAAAAATGTAATTGATACAATTGAAGACGAAAGAAACAGGAAGAACTCAAAGCATATGCAGAAGCGCGAACGCTGATCAAGATTTCGCTTGCCTAAGATAAAAGGCTCCTCTAATCTATCCTCGATGGCATAAGAACCTAGACCCTACTAAAATAAAACAAATGAGGGTTCCAAAGCAAAAGCTGGGCCCATCACCTTATTCTAGCCCTAATTAAATAACTTAACCAAAGTATTGAAACATAGATCTAGATACGCATCAATACTCTCCCAGTCAAAACATCTTTGTCCCCAAGATTGTATTGCCGAAAACCCATGCCACACCGTTGACTCTATCAATTGCTAGATATCGACTTTTATTTCATTTAATTCAGTAGTTGGGACTTTGAGCCCATTTGGTTGAATATCTATTAGAGTTGTAATTAGGTTAGAACTTTATTTAAGTAGACTAACAATTGATATCCAGGGTTACTTGTTGAATATCATTGTCGGCTTTAATCTTGGGTGGGAAGTTCTCCCTAAATGTTGCCCTTAAGCTGGGTGGGATTCCTCCTGAGTTGTTTTTAAGTTATTTCCTAATTAATAATATCGATTATATGTTATTTTCATTTACTTTCACTCTTAACTCTGTCAGTTGGTCTGATTGGGATAAAATAAAATTGGATGGAGAAACGCATAGAAACGTTAGAGAACGGCGTTACGTCACTACCGACACATATGGATCGTTTGTTGGCATAACTTAGTCGAATTGAAGCATATCTATATATATATATATATATATGTATATTACTGTGCTAAAAATCGGCATAGGCGGCGGCCCGACCGCCTCCGATTTGAATGAATCGGCTGAAAAAATCGCTGTATTCTTGAAATTTGTGAATACATATTTTGTTTTATGTCTGCTATCTGCATTTGAATGCTATTTATTAAAAGTAAGCTATTTTTGTTTCTTTCTTAGTTAGGCTGTTAATTTATCCAGTCGTATTCAGACTTCCCATAGTTGATACATTTTGTCATCGTTCTGGTTCTGTATGTTTTTCTATATTCATTTCAGCTTTTAAGGAGAAAGAAGTTCATTATTTCACCCAGTTGCATTTTGTCTTTTTTTTTTTT